TAAACTAAAAGAGGAGGCAGTTAGGGTTTAAAATATAAGCAGCTATTGGAGGATAGATGGGCTAATGAGAGCATAGGCAATGGGGTCGAAGAGTATGGGGTAGGATTAAAAATGTAGTGTTAGAGTGTTCAGCAGAAGTTTGTGGTTTCAGATAAGTGGGTGCAGGAGGGAAGAGGAGTGATTGGTGGAATGATGATGTAAAGAGAGTAGTAAGGGAGAAAAAGTTAGCATAAAGAGAAGTTTTTACAAAGTAGAAGTGATGCAAGAGGAAGAGTATATGGAGAAAAAGAGAGAGGTTAAGAGAGTGGTGAAGCAATGTAAAAAGAGAGCAAATGAGAGAGTGGGGTGAGATGTTATCAACAATTTTGTTGAAAATAAGAAAAAGTTTTGGAGTGAGATTAACAAGTTAAGAAAGCCTAGAGAACAATGGATTTGTCAGTTAAAAATAGGGAGGAGAGTTATTAAATGGGGAGTTAGAGGTATTGGGAAGATGAGGGAATATTTTGAGGAATTGTTAAATGTTGATGAAGATAGGAATCTGTGATTTCGTGTTTTGGGGCAAGGAGGAATAACCATCTTGTAGGTTGAGGAAGAGCCATTTTGTGAGTGTGGGGAAGTTCGTGAGGCAGTAGGTAAATAAAGGGGGTAAGGCAGCCGGGATTGATGGGATAAAGATAGAAATGTTTTAAAAACAGGTGGGGATATAGTTTTGGAGTGGTTGGTGCAATTATTTAATAAATGTATGGAAGAGGTAAGGTTTCCTAGGATTGGCAGAGAGCAATCATAGTTCCTTTGTATAAGGCAAAGGGATAAAAGAGAGTGCAAAAATTATAGGGGGGTAAGTCTGTTGAGTGTACCTGGTAAAGTGTATGGTAAGTTATAATTGAAAGAATTAAAAAGTAAGACGGAGAATAGGATAGCAGATGAACAAGGAGGCTTTAGGAAAGGTAGGGGGTGTGTGGACCAGGTGTTTACAGTGAAACATATAAGTGAACAGTATTTTGATAAGGCTAAAGAGGTTTCTTTGTGGCATTTAGGATTTGAAAAGGCATATGACAGGGTGGATAGGGGGCAATGTGGCAGATGTTGCAAGTGTATGGTGTAGGAGGTAGGTTACTGAAAGCAGTGAAGAGTTTTTACGAGGATAGTGAGGCTCAAGTTAGAGTATGTAGGAAAGAGGGAAATTTTTTCCCAGTAAAAGTAGGCCTTAGACAAGGATGTGTGATGTCACCGTGGTGTTTAATATATTTATAGATGGGGTTGTAAGAGAAGTAAATGCGAGGGTCTTGGCAAGAGGCGTGGAGTTAAAAGATAAAGAATCACACACAAAGTGGGAGTTGTCACAGCTGCTCTTTGCTGATGACACTGTGCTCTTGGGAGATTCTGAAGAGAAGTTGTCTGAGATTGGTGGATGAATTTGGTAGGGTGTGCAAAAGAAGAAAATTAAAGGTGAATACAGAAAGAGTAAGGTTATGAGGATAACAAAAAGATTAGGTGAATGAAAGATTGAATATCAGATTGGAGGGAGAGAGTATGGAGGAGGTGAACGTATTCAGATATTTGGGAGTGGACGTGTCAGCGGATGGGTCTATGAAAGATGAGGTGAATCATAGAATTGATGAGGGAAAAAGAGTGAGTGGTGCACTTAGGAGTCTGAGGAGCAAAGAACTTTGTCCTTGGAGGCAAAGAGGGGAAATGTATGAGAGTATAGTTTTACCAACGCTCTTATATGGGTGTGAAGCGTGGGTGATGAATGTTGCAGCGAGGAGAAGGCTGGAGGCAGTGGAGATGTCATGTCTGAGGGCAATGTGTGGTGTGAATATAATGCAGAGAATTCGTAGTTTGGAAGTTAGGAGGAGGTGCGGGATTACCAAAACTGTTGTCCAGAGGGCTGAGGAAGGGTTGTTGAGGTGGTTCGGACATGTAGAGAGAATGGAGCAAAACAGAATGACTTCAAGAGTGTATCAGTCTGTAGTGGAAGGAAGGCGGGGTAGGGGTCCGGCCTAGAAAGGTTGGAGGGGAGGGGGTAAAGGAGGTTTTGTGTGCGAGGGGCTTGGACTTCCAGCAGGCATGCATGAGCGTGTTTGATAGGAGTGAATGGAGACAAATGGTTTTTAATACTTGACGTGCTGTTGGAGTGTGAGCAAAGTAACATTTATGAAGGGATTCAGGAAACCGGCAGGCCGGACTTGAGTCCTGGAGATGGGAAGTACAGTGCCTGCACTCTGAAGGAGGGGCATTAATGTAGTGTAAGTGCACCTCTGGCAAGACAGTGATGGAGTGAATGATGAAAGTTTTACTTTTTTGGGCCACCCTACCTTGGTGGGAAATGACCAGTGTGTTTAAAAAAAAAAATTATTGTACCTACTGCATATACAGAACATTAAACTCTAATATAAACCTTCCTCTCAAACTTCTTGATAACTACAACAGAATGCACAGGCATAGCACAAGGCACAAAACACTTCAATATCCTCAATGTCTGTCTCACCCTATTCAAAATTGCAATGAACATAAAGGGCATGAAGATCTGGAATTCATAGCCTGAACCAGCAAAAGGTTCCCTGCCTGCCTAACAATTTAGGGTTCTACTTAAAAATTATCTCAACCCTCAAAATTAACCATACAAACACTATGCTAAATCACTTAACCAGTTGAAAGCAACTCGAAAACTCCCCAAAATTTTACAACAGCTTATTAATTAAGAATTGATATATACACCTACCATCCAACTTACAACCTGCTCGACTTACAACCACTTGACTTACAACCGTTTTTTTTTTGCCAAATTCCTGGGAAATAACTATTTGTGTTGTACACAGTGTTTCTCCTAAACCTTACAGTATAAAATACAGTACTAACAGCATAAAAAGTAAAGTAAAACATTTATTATTATTATTATCACACTGGCCGATTCCCACCAAGGCAGGGTGGCCCGAAAAAGAAAAACTTTCACCATCATTCACTCCATCACTGTCTTGCCAGAAGGGTGCTTTACACTACAGTTTTTAAACTGCAACATTAACACCCCTCCTTCGGAGTGCAGGCACTGTACTTCTCATCTCCAGGACTCAAGTCCGGCCTGCTGGTTTCCCTGAACCCCTTCAGGGAAATACCAAAATAAAACAATAAAATAAAGTCATTACAAAAATGTGATATTGATATTCAGTAGTAAAGTTCGACTTACGTCCATTTCAACTTACGACCGGTTTCTCGGAACCGAACTCGGTCGTAAGTTGGATGGTAGGTGTACTTATAACTGTACTACTGTATTATTGTTTTTTTTTTTTTTTTTAACAAGTCGGCCGTCTCCCACCGAGGCAGGGTGACCCAAAACAGAAAGAAAATCCCCAAAAAGAAAATACTTTCATCATCATTCAACATTTTCACCACATTCGCACATTATCACTGTTTTTGCAGAGGTCCTCAGAATACAACAGTTTAGAAGTATACACATATAAAGATACACAACATATCCCTCCAAACTGCCAATATCCCAAACCCCTCCTTTAAAGTGCAGGCATTGTACTTCCCATTTCCAGGACTCAAGTCCGACTATATGAAAATAACTGGTTTCCCTGAATCCCTTCACTAAATATTATCCTGCTCGCACTCCAACAGATCGTCAGGTCCCAAGTACCATTCGTCTCCATTCACTCCTATCTAACACGCTCACGCACACTTGCTGGAAGTCCAAGCCCCTTGCTCACAAAACCTCTTTTACCCCCTCTCTCCAACCCTTTCGAGGACGACCCCTACCCCGCCTTCCTTCCCCTATAGATTTATATGCTTTCCATGTCATTCTACTTTGATCCATTCTCTCTAAATGACCAAACCACCTCAACAACCCCTCTTCTGCCCTCTGACTAATACTTTTATTAACTCCACACCTTTTCCTAATTTCCACACTCCAAATTTTCTGCATAATATTTACACCACACATTGCCCTTAAACAGGACATCTCCACTGCCTCCAACCGTCTCCTCGCTGCTGCATTTACCACCCAAGCTTCACACCCATATAAGAGTGTTGGTACTACTATACTTTCATACATTCCCTTCTTTGCATCTACAGATAACGTTTTTGGACTCCACATATACCTCAACGCACCACTCACCTTTTTCCCTCATCAATTCTATGATTATTGTTTGTGCTAAATTTTAATACTGTTGTTTTTTACATGTACATCACAACTATAAATTTTATTACTGTAAAACATTAGCTACCTCACTGCTGTAATACAGCCTCTCTTCACTTAGCGACGTACTCGTTTACCGATGTCTCGGACTTACGACAGGCTCTCTGACCAGTATTTATACCTAAATAATGTATATTAGAGCTGATTTCCTCTATTCTGTTTATATCAATATACAGTACACTACTGTATAAACATTTAAAAACATACCAGGAATGTTATAAATGGTGCAAAGGTGACATACAAATAATTTCAAAGATGGTCGACACAAACCCACTACCATTATAGTATGTTCCTCAGTTAGTGACGAATTCATTTAACGACATGGTCATAGGAATGGAACTCCATCATTAAGTGAGGAGAGGCTGTAATGTATAATTAAAATTAACCACTCTTTACCTGTCTAGTCTTAAGTAGTCTGTAAGCACTAGGTTTAGTCTGTGCAAAATGCCCTGGCATGTTAGCAGCTTTCTTTGTACCTAACAACACATTGTAAAATGTAATCACATATTGTAACCTTTGCAGAGAAATAAATTTTGCCTTTGTCTTGTCTCGTTCATTCTAAACAAAATCCGATGGTTGGTTTCCAATTTAAGTGTCTTGAGCCAAGTCAAAAGTAAATGGACACCCAGCCAGGCCAAATCAAGTTGCTATGACACAGTCTAGAATAGGGGTGGAGGAAGGGAGAAAAGGGAAGTGGGGAGATATTAATTCATAGGTTCATAACATATGCACTTTAATCTAGACAAATACAGGCTGGCTGGTTGGAGGTGGCAAAAAGAGGAAGGGTAAAAATGTACAAGGATTATGACTGATTTTTTTATTTTTCTCATATTTTTTCAACAAATTCCTTTCTTTTTTATGACCATTTAGTGCATGTGTGGTAAGCTCATATATTTTTGATAAACATTAGTCAAGAAATGTCAAATATGCAAAGGCTCAGAACAAATCCCTATTTTTTACACGTTATAATGAGTTCCTCTTATGTGAATTAGCTTTATGTACCATGGGCCAGGAATGCACTCAATGCATAAAGCATTGGAAAACCTATATAGTAATTACAATATCACCTGTATTTTTTTTTTTTTTTTTTCAAGAAGTCGGTCGTCTCCCACCGAGGCAGGGTGACCCAAAAAAAAAAGAAAATCCCCAAAAAGAAAATACTTTCATCATCATTCAACACTTTCACCACACTCACACATTATCACTGCTTTTGCAGAGGTGCTCAGAATACAACAGCTTAGAAGCATATACGTATACAGATATACAACATATCCCTCCAAACTGCCAATATCCCAAACCCCTCCTTTAAAGTGCAGGCATTGTACTTCCCATTTCCAGGATTCAAGTCCGACTATATGAACATAACCGGTTTCCCTGAATCCCTTCACTAAATATTACCCTGCTCACACTCCAACAGATCATCAGGTCCCAAGTATCATTCGTCTCCATTCACTCCTATCTAACACGCTCATGCACGCTTGCTGGAAGTCCAAGCACCTCACCCACAAAACCTCCTTTACCCCCTCTTTCCAACCCTTTCGAGGACGACCCCTACCCCTCTTTCCTTCCCTATAGATTTATATGCTTTCCATGTCATTCTACTTTGATCCATTCTCTCGAAATGACCAAACCACCTCAACAACCCCTCTTCTGCCCTCTGACTAATGCTTTTATTAACTCCACACCTTCTCCTAATTTCCACACTCCGAATTTTCTGCATAATATTTACACCACACATTGCCCTTAGACAGGACATCTCCACTGCCTCCAACCGTCTCCTCGCTGCTGCATTTACCACCCAAGCTTCACATCCATATAAGAGTGTTGGTACTACTATACTTTCATACATTCCCTTCTTTGCCTCCATAGATAACGTTTTTTGACTCCACATATACCTCAATGCACCACTCAGCTTTTTTCCCTCATCAATTCTATGATTAACTTCATCCTTCATAAATCCATCCGCCGACACTTCAACTCCCAAGTATCTGATTATTATTATAATCAAAAAGAAGTGCTAAGCCACAAGGACTATACAGCTCCCAAGTATCTGAAAACATTCACTTATTCCATACTCCTCCTCCCCAATTTGATATCCAATTTTTCTTTATCTAAATCATTTGATACCCTCATCACCTTACTCTTTTCTATGTTCACTTTCAACTTTCTACCTTTACACACATTCTCAAACTCATCCACTAACCTTTGCAATTTTTCTTTAGAATCTCCCATAAGCACAGTATCATCAGCAAAAAGTAACTGTGTCAATTCCCATTTTGAATTTGATTCCCCATAATTTAATCCCACCCCTCTCCCAAACACCTTAGCATTTACTTCTTTTACAACCCCATCTATAAATATATTAAACAACCATGGTGACATTAAACATCCCTGTCTAAGACCTACTTTTACCGGGAAGTATTCTCCCTCTCTTCTACATACCCTAACCTGAGCCTCACTATCCTCATAAAAGCTCTTTACAGCATTTAGTAACTTACCACCTATTCCATATACTTGCAACATCTGCCACATTGCTCCTCTATCCACTCTATCATATGCCTTTTCTAAATCCATAAATGCAATAAAAACTTCCCTACCTTTATCTAAATACTGTTCATATATATGCTTCAATGTAAACACTTGATCTACACATCCCCTACCCACTCTGAAGCCTCCTTGCTCATCCGCAATTCTACATTCTGTCTTACCTCTAATTCTTTCAATTATAACCCTACCGTATACTTTTCCTGGTATACTCAGTAAACTTATTCCTCTATAATTTTTACTATCTCTTTTATCCCCTTTCCCTTTTTATAAAGGGACTATACATGCTCTCCGCCAATCCCTAGGTACCTTCCCCTCTTTCATACATTTATTAAACAAAAGTACCAACCACTCCAACACTATATCCCCCCCTGCTTTTAACATTTCTGTCATGATCCCATCAGTTCCAGCTGCTTTACCCCCTTTCATCCTACGTAATGCCTCACGTACCTCCACCACACTTACATTCTGCTCTTCTTCACTCCTAAAAGATGGTATACCTCCCTGGCCAGTGCATGAAATTACCGCCTCCCTTTCTTCCTCAACATTTAAAAGTTCCTCAAAATATTCTCGCCATCTACCTAATACCTCCCTCTCCCCATCTACTAACTCCCTTACTCTGTTTTTAACTGACAAATCCATACTTTCCCTAGGCTTTCTTAACTTGTTTAACTCACTCCAAAATTTTTTCTTATTTTCATTAAAATTTCTTGACAGTGCCTCTCCCACTCTTTCATCTGCTCTCCTTTTGCACTCTCTCACCACTCTCTTCACCTTTCTTTTACTCTCCATATACTCTGCTCTTCTTATAACACTTGTGCTTTGTAAAAACCTCTCGTAAGCTACCTTTTTCTCTTTTGTCACACCCTTTACTTCATCATTCCACCAATCACTCCTCTTTCCTCCTGCCCCCACCCTCCTATAACCACAAACTTCTGCCCCACATTCTAATACTGCATTTTTAAAACTATTCCAACCCTCTTCAACCCCCCCACTACTCATCTCTGCACTAGCCCACCTTTCTGCCAATAGTCGCTTATATCTCACCCGAACTTCCTCCTCCCTTAGTTTATACACTTTCACCTCCCTCTTACTTGTTGTTGCCACCTTCCTCTTTTCCCATCTACCTCTTACTCTAACTGTAGCTACAACTAAATAATGATCCGATATATCAGTTGCCCCTCTATAAACATGTACATCCTGGAGCCTACCCATCAACCTTTTATCCACCAATACATAATCTAACAAACTACTTTCATTACGTGCTACATCATACCTATTTATCCTCTTTTTCATAAAATATGTATTACTTATTACCAAATTTCTTTCTACACATAGCTCAATTAAAGGCTCCCCATTTACATTTACCCCTGGCACCCCAAATTTACCTACTAATTCCCTCCATAACATTTTTACCCATTTTAGCATTGAAATCCCCAACCACCATTACTCTCACACTTGATTCAAAACTCCCCACGCATTCACTCAACATTTCCCAGAATCTCTCTCTCTCTCCTTAATTGGTATGTCACCTTAATCATTGCAGAAATGTGTGAACATTATTTCTTCGTATATACATACCCCTCTGGGTTTTCTTCTATTCGATTAATAGTTCTTTTTCTTGTTCATTTCCTTTTATCTCCATAGGGAAATGAAACAATTCTTCTCTGTAAGCCATGTGTCATAAGAGGTGACTAAAATGCTGGGAGCAAGGGGCTAGTAACCCCTTCTCCTGTATACATTACTAAATTTAAAAAGAGAAACTTTTGTTTCTATTTTTAGGTCATCCTGCCTCAGTGGAATACAGCTGGTTCGTTGAAAAAAAAAAATTACAGTGGAACCTTGATTTTCATTTTTAATTCGTTCCAGAGTCTGACAAAAACCAAATTCAAAGAAAACTAAAGCAATATTTCCCATAAAAAAATAATGTAAATCCAATTAATCCACTCCAGACATCCAAAAATATTAACAAAAAATACATTTTATTGTGTTGCAGCTCTTTATTGGTTAGCTCTTCCTTGTGGTCGTCCACCAACTCTTGCACATCCTGGCCACTCACATCCAACCCCATGGACTTCCCCAAAGCCACAATAGATTCCACAACAGGCATAGGGTTGTCAAGTTTACACTAACTTATATTAAGTTAGTAATAGAACTAGGCATCAAAAAAAACAATAAAAAGTACATTCATTACTTACCTGAAAATATTTGTAGTCTTAATGTAGGGCAAGAGGTGAGTAGTACTTATTTGTAGAAAATCAGATGTACATAGACAGTAGATGAAGGTATGTAGTCTGCCTGGGCTACATACCTACATCTGCTTACATAGCTACATGATATTTAATGCAGCCCAGAGCCATATTATTACCTTCAATATACCATGTTCACTGAATTTAATCATTTCTAACAAACTACCTGCAGAAGCCATCATAAACAAAGGGAGACGTAATGAATAATTCATCCCGGGAATTGTAAACAAAAGTGTTATGCATTAAGGAATCCACCTTGATAATAGACTCAAATTTCATACACATATACAACAAATTTCTAAGAAAATTTCCAAGACTGTAGGCATACTATCGAAGATACGGTACTATGCTCCACAGTCAGCCCTCCTGGCCCTATATCACTCTCTTATTTACCCCTATCTCACCTATGGAATTTGTGCATGGGGCTCAACAACAAGTAACCATCTCAGACCACTAATTACCCAACAAAAGGCTGCAGTTAGAATGATAACAAATTCTCACTATAGGCAGCACACTCCACCAATATTCAATACACTAAACCTACTCACCATACAAAACATCCATACTTATTACTGCACCTATTACATACATAGAACACTTAACTCTGATATTAACCCTCCCCTCAAACATCTCCTTGCCAACCTCAACAGAACACATGACCATAACACAAGGCACAGATCACTCTTTGATGTTCCTCGTGTCCATCTCACACTATGCAAAAACTCAATGCACATAAAAGGCCCTAAAATCTGGAACTCATTACCTGTAAATATAAAAGAAACACTACCTGTTTATAAATTCAAGTCTCTTCTCAAAGATCACTTACTCACCCAAACCCAAATAAATACTGAATAACTGAACCTTATAAATTGTATATCTTAAATGTTTCTCACAATTATATCACATAAATGTTAAACCTAAAACCCAATCTAACTTTATTATTTTTTAAATACACTACCTAACAGAATACTCCATTCTACTGAATGTACAACAATGCATACAACCATATGACCTGTCTTTGTAATACTCACTTGTGCTTTATAGTAATCTGTTTACATTAAAGTTTTATCACTGATGTCATCATTGCTTAGTTCATCTTAAGTTAATTTTAAGCCAGCCCGTAATGCTATGCATAGTATAAGTGGCTTTGGCATGCTGCTCTTATCTGTATTTTTTGTACCTCTGTATGTGTGCTCAAATTTTTAAATAAATAAATAAATAAAAGGGGGGTGACTGGGCCAATGCAGATTAACACACATTTTCTCAGGTGCTGGACCAGAGAATATGTAATGTTTTCCCTCCACCTGACTACCACCCCTCTTGTTTTTTATATAATTTTGAAGACAATATTACAGATGGCTTAATGAAAATGTCTATATTAATGTAAAATAAGACATTTAACCCTTTGAGGGTCGACAGGCCCTCTCCGAAACTCGTTCTCAGGGTCGGCCAAATTTAAAAAAAAAAAAAATTATTTTCTCTTATGAAAAGATAGAGAATCTTTTCCCGTTCATAAAGACACCAAAAGTTTGAAATTTGATAGAAAACTTACGGAATTATGCTCTCGCAAAGTTAGCGGTCTCGGCGATGTTTACGCATCGGCGATTTTGCCCACTTTGAGCCCCATTTTCGGCCAATTTCACTGTACTAGTCGACAAAAAACATGAATATTTCGCTAGAACTCCATTTTTTCTATCGAATGGATGCAAGAAACCACTCATTTATGAAATTCAACTATCCAGTACAGTGGTCAGAATTTAGCAATTTTGCCAATTTCACACAAATTTCAAAAGATGCCAATTTCCGAATAGGGTCCAGAATAAACAAGAAAGACATTCCTGGCACTAAAATGACATTTCCTCTAGTCATTAGTCATGTCTCAAGTCCCCTCTTATATTCTTTTGCTTTCCACTTTGAATTTTTATTTTCACAAAAAATATAAGATTTACTGTTATGCAGACTACTGCATTAGTGTAAAAAATGGTATAAATATTATTGGTGCACTTGTGAAAGAATATTAGACTCACCAGTTGACGTGTATTGCACGCTTGGCACGATTTGTTTACTTTTGAAGTTTGGTAAAAATCGAACATTTTTGCTACTTTGAGCTCAATTTCAAGGCACCTTTCTTTGTAAAACCAGTCAAAATCATCTCAATTTCTGTAATATGTCTTCCATTCTATAAAATGAGACCAAGAAAACTAGAATACAACAATAAATACCATACGAAAATACACTGCAAAGTCGCTGATTTATTAAAAAAAAATGGTCAAAGTTTTTTTTTTTCATTATGCACTGTGTGCTGCAGGATTTTTTTTAGACTGTGCACACTGACACATAGACCCATTCTTTCATATGAAGGCCTACCAGCTTCCTCCCACTAGATTTGAGGCCGCTAGAATTTATGAGTACTAGTACGTCAAAAACCCCTACGCGTAAAACGTACTAGTACGACGAAAACCCTCAAAGGGTTAATGTGCCCAAGAGTGATTATTACATATTAGTGTTATTACTATGGTGTTAAGACTAGAGGGACACTCTTAGTGATTTTAATGTGTACCCGCACGAAAACCAAGGTGACAGATGAAAACTGGGACAATACATACTTTGAGGAAAAAAATTGTCAAAACCCGAATTCGATGAAAACCAGGGCAAACGAAAACCAAGGTTCCACTGTATTTCTTTAGAAGAAAATATAATCTCCTTTTAAATAAATCCTATCTTGGATTTCATAATCATGAAATAAGAGCACAAACAAAGCAACACTTAAAAGGTCAAATTTAAGCACCATGAACCCTCGCTTACTGAGTTTATCTGTCCTAATAGAGCATTTGTTTTTGTACGCATTAGAGTACTAATGTCAATATCCACATGATCTAAACAACAACAAACATTATATATTCATTATTCTTGGTTATGTTAATTTTACCTATACCCTGTAGTATATAGCTAACCATTAATAAAAAAAAAATCATCTCAGTCTGTAGCACTGGTAACTCCATTCTATGTTTAAAGTGGATGGTAGGCTGCATTATCAAACATGGCAGAAATACGACATTCAATTGGAAAACTCATTAAATCATTAAATTACAAAACTATAATGATATACTCTAATTTTGTTCTAGATGTTTATGAGTTAAGTCTGAGAATATAGTGAATTTAATAATACATATACACTACTGCACATGCATTATGTGCGGTGTTCACTGTATAGAAAGGATAACTCCAAAGCAAAAGCACAATACAATTATATTACCATACAGTATTACTGTAATATTAACTAAGGCAATAATTTAAAAACAAGGGTGTTAACAACACCTATATCTTAAGGAAATTTCACTAAATTATTATTATCACAAGATAATGTGCACTATCAGGGTTATATTCAAATGCACTGCATTAGACAGGTAGAGTAGTGGAGCAGTTGTCCATGGAAGCACTACCATGAGGGAAGTAAAAGCAGTCACCATTTTCTCTTTCTCTACTGTTAAGTCTTTTACTACACACAGTTTACAGTGACTTTTTTTTTTTTTTTTCATTTTTTCTACCATTACACTGTCTTTTCAATTCACATTGTTTTTCCAACTGTTTCTGTCCTCTTGTACCTTCTCATTTATCTTCACTTGCCAAGAGGGATGTCTCATTGTTTCAACTTCATCTTGCTTTTTCTAAAACTGCTGAACACTAATATAGAGTTCTCTGACACATTTGTCAGGTTCTTCTTCAAGAGAATTTTTAACACTTAACAGGTTCTTTGAAATGTGAGGGGAAAGGATCCTGCATATATCCATCCCATCATGGATGGGAAGTTCCCAGGATGAAAAAGGCATAATAGGTATGCTGCAGCAGGATTTGGACAAAGGTAAGTAGTTGTAAGATAAAGTTAAAAGTTAAGGTTTATGCTATCATTAGATCTCAATGGAAGAGCAAAAATTTCCCAATACAGTATGTATAACTGTATATCTTCATCCCCAAATAGAAAAACAAAGAATAAAATTGAATATGTAGTAGATACACAATGCTAAAATTATCTAAGATCATAATAACATATACTACTATATGTAATAAAATAATTCTATTACTAATTGAATCTTCATAAATTTTACATACACTAAAATATCACAACGCTGAGATCAACGAAGTCTAATATTATGAATATTACAAAAAGTAATTTACAGTAGACCGTCATTTAGCACGAGTTTATTTGGCATGATTTGGGTATAGCACGATTGAAGAATTGCGGCACAATTTTATGTAACACATCGTATGATGAATTTAACACGGTTCAGTTTGTGGGAAGGAAAAAAACCTTCGCATTTCCTCAAGCCACCACCTTGTTGTGGTTCAGCTGGGGAGACCTCCTGCCATCCCAAGCCACCCCCCAACACCACCCCACCATCAAAGCATTCGTACTTCATACATGTCCAGTCCAACTTCTCTGCTACAAGCTTGTGATTGTGAACTGTGTTTTGATCTTTTAATTGCTATATCTTGTATCTGCCAAGCAATCATGACACCCAGTAAGCATATCAGTGTTTCTCAAAGTGGCAAGAAAAGGTGTAAGCATTTAAGTCTTAGAATTAATGAAGGAAACAAAGATATTAGACAAGACATCCTGTGGCCATAATGAAGTGTTACTTTGTACACATAAAAAAGAGGTAAACATAAGTTTGTGTGACTGACTGACTTACTGACTGAATGACTGACTTACTGAATGACTTGACTGACTTACTGAATGACATACTGAATCACTTGACTGACTTATTGAATCTGACTGACTTATTGAATCACTTGACTGACTTACTGAGCGACTTGACTGACTTACTGAATGACTTGACTGATTTACTGAACGACTTGACTGACTTACTGAACGACTTGACTGACTTACTGAACGACTTGACTGACTTACTGAATGACTTGACTGACTTACTGAATGACTTGACTGACTTACTGAGTCACTTGAGACTTACTGAATGACTTGACTGACTTACTGAGTCACTTGAGACTTACTGAATCACTTGACTGACTTACTGAATGACTTGGCTGACTTACTGAATCACTTGATTGAATGACTTAAAGTTAGACACTCCAGTACAACCATCAACTTCAATACCAGAACCTATACTATCCACCTCAGCCCAGTAGGGCCACAGCATAACTCTCCACTCTCTTCACAATCATCCACAAACACAATCACCCACAATTTAAGGTAAGAAATACTATTATTTCTGTTACATGTGTAGTCTTAAGCAGTAAAAACAACACAATACATCATAACAATGAACTACAATTACATTTTCACTTTTATTTTTGTAAGATGTGGAGGCCTAAAAAAAGTTGTTTGGCTTTTTTGGGGCACTCAGGAACGTAACCCTATTTTTCCTGTAAATTCTTCAGTTCATCTAACATGGTTTTTACCTAACACGGTATTTTCAGGAATGTAACTACCATGTTAAATGAGGTCTACTGTATTAAAATCACAGAAAAGAAAAATTATGCACAAATAAGGGAATTAAAACTAAGCTCACATTTTATAGTTCCTTGTTTTGCTCAGTATCAAGAGGTCTTCTTGGCCAGTATTTTTTCTCTTGAAGTTTAGTACTTGATGCATACAATTTTTGAAGTTTATCATGAGTTGGTTTGATATTTAAAGAAATCCATTCTTTGACCGTATACTCATCATATACATCTGCCAAGGCTGTTTCTGCATCGGTCATTAATTTGGTGAAGTCAAACAAGAGCATTGAGAGATCCTGAAGACCTTGTTCAACATGTTGTGGACTAGCAAAGTTATTCTCTATGTTATAATCTGAAACCCATCCAGTTACATGAGGATTATGTAGCATGGTATCAATGTCCCTCTTTAAAATGAAAAGCTTCTGTGATACTTCATATACTGCACTACCTGGAAAGTCACACTTGTTAGGATATTCCATATACTGCAGATCTAAGTTTATAAATGAGTTACATTTGAGGACATCTCCAACTCGAGCCAAGGCACCATGATCTGCTTTCCTCTCAGAGATGTACATCAGATTCACTGCTAATGACGGAATAGCCTGGGGAAAAAGTTCACAGAGCACTGCAAAATGATCAAATCTTTGCCAGCCTGTCAATACAATGCCTCGAAAAGGAATCGTATTTTTATACATATCAAAAATTTCCATCCATTCTTTATGGTTACTAAGACGATCATTAATATTGGTTATGTAACTTTCAGGATTAGCAGCACCTTTGAAAGCACTAGCAATCCATACACCACTGAACACTGATGAATATTTTTCCCAAATGTCTGAGTGCAGATCAACCATAATGCCAGTACTGTACTTCCATACCATGATTTCCAACAACTGACCTACTTGAGAGTCTTGAATAGCCCTCAGTGGAATTTTTCGGAATTCATCATCCCACATTATGGGCTGTATATCATAATTATCTTTGACATATTTGGCAACTTTCTTTACATGGTGTAAAAATAAGTCACTTTTTCCAAACTGTTGATGAAGGAGGTACTGCTGGCATCTGGTACATTCTCCAAGATTATATACTTCATCTGAACCAATGTGTAACCAATCAATTCCTGGATGCATCTCCAGAATCTGATCAATCATCATTTTAATAAGTGATAATGTTTTATTGTTAGTTGGACAAATAACTTGAGGATAGTTTGGCACCTCACGTAGTTCTGAGAATTCTTTAAGTTTCAGAACATGTTCCATGTGACCAAATGTTTGCACAAGAGGAATGACCTCGAGACTATTTCTCTTTGCAATTTCTATAATATCTGCAATATCACCTTTAGCATATGCATTTTCAGCTGATAGAAATTCAAGCTTACCCCAGTATGGAAACATGTCTTCATATTCTAAAAGCAATCCTGTGGCACCAAATGAATGCAAAAGTGGAAACAGTTTTTTAAGATACTCAATTTTAGGTGGTGCACCTTTTAAATCCAAGTGTACTATTCTATGCTTTAGCTGATTTTCCATCACAACACTTTTCCGTATGGCTGTGTCTTGTTCTTCCAAATCATTAACTCTTCCTAATCCATCCAAAAGGCTTGGTTTTTTGTGCAAAATAATTCCCACTGGGTCATGATCCATTTTGCGCTTAAGCTCCTTATGGACTGACATCTTTTTGATGTTAGCCATGATTCTATTCTCATATTCCTTTTGTTTCTTAAGGTGTTCTGGGCTCTGAGTCAGAAGATCAGGAGAGTCATCTCGAGCAGATTTTGACCGGGCTTGTTCTGTTCCTGGTTCTAATTCAAAGCTTTTTGACCCATCCAAAGGGCCAGATATTTTGTATAACATGAGTATTATTAACAAAGTAAATCCAATAACAGATAATAGTCTTGCATTTCTTCTTGGGAACATTTTTAGAGCAATCATTTCCAACACAACCAACTGAACAAATTTTACTTTTCAAGTAAATGAGCTTCTGTTCACCATATATGTTAAAGAAGTTCTTTTCTTTAAGAATTCAATTTAAAAAGTAGAAACTTACTTTTCATAACTACCACACCTTTTTGTACAAATCGAGAGAGAGAGAGTTGGGTGCATGCACACACACACTGATCTTCATAGATATAATGGGAAAACACTAGCAAATATAATTTATACTGCACAGTATACAAGACAACTTGTAAAATTAATGTTGGTTTTTCATACAAATATTTTTTTTTTTTTAAACTATTAACCCTTTCTTTTGTGTATACACAGTCAGTTATTACAATTTAGTGCAAAATCATCTTCATTGCAACTTGAAATGATCTTCCCCACAACTCCTTATGATGTTTGTACTGAAAAGAAACATTTCATTATTTTCATATTCAATGAATCAATCCCTATCTTATAGCACATCAGCTTAGTAATATAAATGTTTATTCTCTATATTTATATAGTTTTAGGTTCAGGTTTTGACATAGTTTTCACTTTAATTTACATGAGGGCCACCACTTGTAGTAACATTTTCAGGGATAGTAAGCCTGTAGCTTACAAAGGGGTTTCCTTTGTCTCTGATTTTTCATGTGCATTTTAAACTTTTTTACATTCACTGAAAAAATCTGACAGAGCATGGAAAATCATCCTGCAGATAAGCCTATTCACTTGCCAGGAAGTGACAAGAGTGACAATTTTGGGGGATATTTTATCTTCAGAAGCACAAAACCTACATGGGTCATTCAGCATAAGGACTGGAGGCTCAATTCTACACCTGGCTATTTGTCTTAATCAGCAAGTCTGTCGGCGATCCTCAGGAGTGATAAGCTTTCTAATATAACTGATCTCATAAGAGATACTCAAGATGCTGAATAAGACTATTAATTCAGAGGTCTACCTAATTTTGAAATTTTAATTTTTAATGTGATACACACATGAATGGCAACAACTATACACCACTACACACACACACCCCACTACAGCCCCCCACTACACACACACACACACCCCCACTACACACACACACACACACACACCCCACTACACACACACACACACACACACACCCACACACCCCCCACTACACACACACCCCCACTCACCCCCCCACTACACACACACCCCCACTACCACCCCCCACTACACACACACACCCCACTACACACACACACACCCACTACACCACACACACCACCCCACTACACACACATCACACCACACACACACGCACACCCCCACTACATGCACACCCCACTACACACACATGCACACCCCACTACACACACATGCCCACCACCCCACTACACACACCACACATGCACACCCCACTACACACACACACACTCACCCCCACTACACACACATGCTCACCCCACTACACACGCTCACCCCACACACACACACTACACACCCACTACACACACACCCCACTACACACACACACACGCACACCCCACTACACACACACATGCACACCCCACTACACACACACACACCCCTACACACACACGCACACCCCACTACACACCACACCACACCCCACTACACACACACGCACACCCCACTACAACACACACACACCCCACTACACACACACACCACACACCCCACTACCACACACACCCACTACACACGCACCCCACCCCACTACACACACACGCACACCCCACTACACACACACCCCACACCCCACTACACACACACACACACACGCACACCCCACTACACACACACACGCACACACCCACTACACACACACCCACTATGCGCACGTGTGCACACACACACACACACCCCACCCCACTACACACACACACACACACACCCCACTACACACACACACACACACCACACACACACACTACACACACACACACACACCCCACTACACACACACACACAACCCCGTACACACACACACACACACACACACACACACACACACACACACACACACACACACACACACACACACACACACACACACACACACACATACACACACACACACACACACACACAACACACACCCACTACACACACACACACCCCACTACACACACACCCCACTACACACACACCACTACACACACAGGGATGTTAGGAAGTATTTCTTCAGTCATAGAGTAGTCAGGCCATGGAATAGCCTAGAAAGTGATGTGGTGGAGGCAGGAACCATACATAGTTTTAAGGCGAGGTATGATAGAGCTCATGGGGCAGGGAGAGAGAGGACCTAGTAGCAATCAGCGAAGAGGTGGGGCCAGGAGCTGTGACTCGACCCCTGCAACCACAAATAGGTGAGTACAAATAGGTGAGTACACCACTACACACACACACACACACACACACACACACACACACCACTACACACACACACACCACACACACACACACACACACACTATACACACACCACTACACACACACCCCACACACACACACACACCACACACACACACACACACCACTACACACACACACACACCACTACACACACACACACACACACACACACACACACACACAACACACACACACACACACACACCACTACACATACACACACACACACACACCACTACACACACACACACACACACACACCACCACTACACACACACACACCACACACACACACACACACACCACTACATACACACATCGATACCTCAAAGGCAATGGGACCGGACAACATCTCCCCGTGGGTCCTTAGAGAGGGAGCAGATATGTTGTGCGTGCCACTTACCACAATCTTCAACACGTCCCTGGAAACTGGGCAACTACCTGAGGTATGGAAGACGGCAAATGTAGTTCCCATTTTTAAAAAAGGAGACAGAAAAGAGGCACTAAACTATAGACCTGTGTCATTGACGTGTATAGTATGCAAAATTATGGAGAAGATTATCAGGAGGAGAGTGGTGGAACACCTGGAACGGAACAAGAGTATAAATGCCAACCAGCACGGATTCACGGAAGGCAAATCTTGTGTCACAAACCTTCTGGAGTTTTATGATAAAATAACAGAAGTAAGACACGAGAGAGAGGGGTGGGTTGATTGCATCTTCTTGGACTGCAAGAAGGCCTTCGACCAGTTCCTCACAAGAGTTTGGCAAAACTAAGCATCGGCGCATATAACAGGAAGGGCCGCAATGGATCAGAGAATACCTGACGGGGGAGGCAAAAACGAGTATGGTACGTAATGATGTATCACAGGGGCACCGTGACGAGGGGGGCCCCACGGGGGTGGGCCTAGGCCCCGTGCTTTTTTGGTATTGTAACGCATGAGGGAAGGGGGTTTAGATCAGAAGTGCCCCTGTTTGCAGTGAGTGAAGTTATGGGGGGAAATTAAATTGATGAGGACCAGGCAGGACTTCAAGAGACCTGGAAGACTGGACACCTGGCCAGCAAATGGCTTCTCAAATTTTTAATCCTGCCAAACAAAGTCATGGATGGGGGAAGGGCACAGAAGACCACAGACAGGTAAGGCTAGGTGGCAAAACGCAAACCTACTAAGGGAAAATTTTGGGGTGAGATAACACGAGCATGCTGGGGGAAGCACAAAACAATCAGATAACTGCTGAAAGCATAGGGGGGCCCCGGGAAAACCTGGAAAGCATTCCGATCCTTAGAAAGGGAACAAAAGACACTGTACCCGTGTATGTCAGGCCCATACTAGTATGCGCACCTGTTTGGAACCCGCATTTATAAAACCGTCAAAAAAAGAGAAAGTAAAAGGTTTGCGACAAGGTTGTTCCGAGTAAGGGGGAAAATCCTATGAAAAAAAGTTAAGGGAAATCGGCCTGACGACACTGGAGGAAGGAGGGTCAGGGGGGGACATGTAACGACTAAAAATTCTCGTGGAATAGACAAAGGGGGCAAAGACAGGATTTCCCGGGAGGGGACACAGAAACAAAAGGCCAAATTGGAAGTTGAAGACACAAATGGTCAGGAGTAGTAGGTTTTCTTTGTCATAGAGTTTTAAGGAGTGGGAAAACCTAGAAAATGCGTAGGGAGGCAGGAACCATACACATTTTTTAAAACGAGGTTTTATAAAGCATGGGCGGGGGGGAGAGAGGGCCCGTTCAACCGGTGAAAAGGCGGGGCCCGGAGCTAAACTCGACCCCCGCAACCACAAATGGTGAGTACACACACACACACACACACCCTACACACACACACACACACACCCCACCCACTACACACCACCACCACACACACACACACACACCCCTCACCACACACACACACACACAACACACACACCCCACACCCCACCACACAAAACACCACACACACACACACACACAAAACCCACTACACACACTGCGTGGGGCCCGTGGGGGGCAGGGGGGGCCACAAAAGGGCTCCGAGAACCCTGGGTGTTTTTAAGGGTGCAGTGCCCAGTAACAGTAATCAGTGGTATTTTGAAATTCGTCAGTAAAGAAAATTAATACGGAGTGAAAAACTAAAGTTATTATTTTAAGAAAAAGTCGGGGAAAAAAGCCTGAAAATTATCCATTACCCAAAATTACCCAAATTTTTTGGGGTTTACAAAGGCAGCGGTAGGCCTGAAGCAGTGCGTCAGGGACACGTTTGTGTCCCATTATACTTAAAAAAGTGAAGTGTTTTTCTATCAAAAGGGAAAAAGTAAAATGGGCGTGAGGAACGAGGGATGATGGACCCACATGGGGGTTAAAATCATCCGGTTGAAGGATCTCCGAATAGGGATTTTAAAGGCTACGTACGCGACTACTTAAATTAGCTTTTCTGGCAATTGGCACGCCCTTTTTGCCAGCCCCAAGTATCCACCTTTTACTGTGGTTTGCATTGTGGCGGGTTTTGGTTTGGGTTTGGGCCTTGCATCACTTTTAAAGATAGGGGTCACTCATCCTCCCAAGCTTTTTAGGTTTTATTAGTAGTAAGAACATTTTGGGAAAGTGGGAAGTCCTCTCTAAACGTGAAAAAAGGGGGGGAATAGGAAAATTTCCCAGCAAAAATTGAAAACTTAAACCCAAAAAGGGGAAAATAAGGAAGGTATAGTTTTTCTGGGGAAAAGACAGAACAGAAAAGGTTTTAATCGGTTTTACCCCCCCCCAAAAAACCAAACCCCTTTCCCAAACACAACACCAAGGGCAGAAAATTTTTTAAAGGCTTTAGACCTAGTAGAAATTATCGTTTTTTATAACCCCGAAATTACTGGTATGTTTTAAACAGTATCTCCTGCATACCCCCCCCCATAAAAAAAATTACACACACACACTAAAACACACAAATAACACACACACACAAACACAAACCCACACCCCATAAAACCAAAATTACATACACAAAACACCCCAAAATACCACCCCAACACACAATG